ATCAAAGCCTATATAATTTTAAGTTATCTGTATAATTTAAGACAAACTGTATTAAAATTTAACGTATTTTATTCTGATCCTTAAAATTTACAACGTATTTTACAGACACGATCTAAGAGTTTACCTGATAAGTAAACACCGTTAAAGATATATTTTTTTTTTATTAACCTGGATATCCAACTCGCTATGCGAGCCGACTAATCCCAGGACGACCACCTGTTTTGCAGATAGCTCGGAGTCACTGTAGTTGAACTTCCGTGACCACAAGAGGATTTTTATTCCTCCTTAAATTTGAACTTAGGACCTCCTGATGATTTTTGAAGTTAAACTCAAACCAATCAGACATCACTCTTATAATTGTGCATGAAATGTGGACGAAAATAAAAAAACAAAGTAAAAATAAGGTGGATTGGAATGGAGATTGCGTACGGAAGGGGAAGGGGAAGAGGAGAAAAGTAATGTGAGGGTGCATGGACTACACGTGGACTTATGAACCGTACAAGCGGACAAGAAGACCACCTTCAATTTTACTACGAATTCCTATGTACAAATTGAACGATTTATAAGAATATTTTTATTACTTTATATTTAATTTTTTTAAATAATAGATTTATTTATTTATAAAACTACGAGTAGCTTTTTTATTTTAAAATTATATTATTAATATATTTAAAAGTAAAATACGTATTTGATCCTATTTTCAAATATTACAAGATGGTTATTACGTTTGTAAAAAACGATCGAATTTGGTCCATTTTTTTAACGGTCGTTAAAAAATTCTGTTAAATAACAGTCTTTTTTTATCATTCTATCGATTTTTTTGTCTTTTATTGAATCAAAAACCACAATATCAAAAGCATAAAACTGATTTTGATTAAATAAAAAATAAAACCCCCCGATAATTTCATTTAACGGAAATTTTTAATGGCCGTTAGAGAGAGTGACTAAATCCGAAAGGTTTTACAAATCGTGATGACTATCTTATAATTTCAAAACGACAGGGACACAAAATGTTATTTTCTTGCTCTATTTTCTACATAAACAACGGGTTTCAGATGAAACTAAAACCAAAGCAAACCAAATCGAATCCAAATCCGCATTCAGTAAACCCTAAAACGTCATTTCAAAAACGCCGATGTGAATATAATTAACCACATTACGTACACTCAAAAAGATCATTTCAAAAATGCCGATGCGAATATAACCAACAAAATCACTTTCCGTGTACTACAAGAAGTTATTTCAAATGCGTTGATGTGAATATAATTAACCACATTCCGTACATATACACTCAAAAACGTCATTTCAAAAATGCCGATGTGAATACAACTAACCACAAAATACAATGCATCTGTTCGTTTTATTTATCGTATAATCATAAGTTAGTTGCACGTAAACGTTATATGATTACAAATCTTTTGTTTCAAAAAAGGAAATATTAATGTCGTAGGGGATGCAATGAGTTCTAAAACAAGTGGTGTAACCAGGCTGCTGATCCTTGCGAGCCAACGGTTGCTGGATTTGGCCTAAAGGTGGTCCCAAAGGCAAGTTCAATGTATATTCTTTTCACCTAAATCTTATAATTTCTGATAATAAATAAAAAATTTACAGTATTGCTTTATACAGTAAAACTATACAGGTATTACTGGTTTTTATGATTTCCTGCTTTTTTAGAATTTTCATCTGATTATTTCAATATATAAATATTGTAAGATGCAATATTTGATACCGTTGAAGCGAAAAAACCATTAGTCAGGTGCAATGTACAAGAAATGGTGGTTTAGGTATGGGTTTGGTGTGTTAATTACAAGTAGGAGTACAATAAGACTAATTGGATTTATGATTAGTTAGAATGTGGCATGATTTATTGGATTGATATATCTATTTACGTATCCAGTGTTGTTTACGTACGGATCGATTAAATGTATTCATTTTTGAAATAAATATCATATTTTAATAAAAGTTTCATGATTCCTTAAATTTGTGTCATGGATCCTTTTTCGGGTAGCTCAATTGGTAAGATATTGGTTTGAACCACAAGAGTGGTGTCTAATTGGTTTGAGCTTGGCTCCAAAGGTTAAAAGTACTTGGAGGTTTTAGGTTCAAATCCAAGGAGGAATAAAAATCCCCTTGTGGCCATGGAGGTTTAAATGCGGTGACTCCGAGCTATCTGCAAAACAAGTGGTCGCCTTGAGATTAGTCGGCTTGTATAACGGGTTTGATATCTAGGTTAATAAAAAAAAGATATTGGTTTGTTCCATACTGTTAAAAAAATCGAGGGTTTTTAAAAGATACTGAGGTCCCGTTTGGTTTGCAGGTTTATATTGGATTTGGAGGGTATTGAAATTGAATTTGATTCCAATCCCAACACTGGTTTTGAAGGATTTATTGGATATGAAATCCTGAGATTTCATTGAAATTTTGCAAACATAGGATTTTGAAATCCTACAGTAGCGGTTAGTATTTGACGAGATTTCATAGAGTTTGTATGTACTAATGTTTTAAAATATATTAAAAATATTTGTTTTGTAGTAATCAATTAATAAAAAAATAATTTAATTATTTTTATAGTTTTGTATTTTTTATAAAAAAAGAAATTTAAATCCTACAAACCAAACATATCAAAAATTCCAAATTATTTCACAAAATCTATGATATAAATATTATTTTTTAGAATTTATGTTAAAAATAAAATAAATAAATTTCACACTATCAACATGCAAATAACTATTTAAAAAGATGTTTTTTTAAAAATAAAAATAAAAATAAAAAATGTTTTATTTAATGTATTTTACCATTTAAAAACAAATATAAATAAAAAACCAGAATAGTAAAATCTGTGTGCTCCTGCCTTTGGCCATTGTTTTCTTCCCTCATTTGTGGTCAACTCATGTTTCAATATTCCCTTTTTGTTTGCCAACTTGACATTTGAGAATATTATATTATATTCATTTAAAAATTAATTTATTTTGGATTGTACTTGTTTTTATAACTGTTTACATAAGTAAAAATGGTCAAAATAAATACCCAATAAATACTTTTATTGTTATAAAATTAAAATGATAAATAATAAAATGTTGACAAAGTTAATCTCATCAAACAAATACAAGTAAAAAAGTCTCACATATATTTCATATATGTAAGAGTGTCATACTATACTATGAAATAAATATATGTAAATCAATATCTTAAATTAATCTTTTCATTTTTACGGTTTTCATTTAATTAGTTCTGTGTATATTATTCAAAAATCTGCTCTTATATTTATATTTACTGTACTTGAAGCCAACTACTTCAAGCATCATATTGATGATGACAATAATTTACGGTATTATGAATTATAACCGAAGGTAACATTAATTTGGTATCGCATTATTGCATTAATAATCAATAAATGTTTAAAAACGTTACTAAAAAAAAAAAAAATTCTTTTTCACTTGAATTATGAAAATTGGATAATTTTTGAAGTATTTTATGGTGTATATGATGATAAAAAACGAGTTACACTGAAACTTGATCTTGATACATTCAGTCGGTATAAAAAAATGTTAATAAACCTTTTATGACCTCTGTATACTGAAAAAATTATCCTTCCTCGGACTCGTTGGAAACATACTGACTGAATATTACTACTGCTTTGGAACCAATGCACAACTAAAAACGTCTTTTTATTAGACATTCTAGTTAGGTCCCAAACTCAAACAGTTAAAAATTCTCAAATAACCACAAGAGTGATGCTTGATTGGTTTGAGTTTGGCTCCAAAAGTCAAAAGTACCTGGAGGTCCCAGGTTCAAATCTAATGAAGAATAAAAATCCCCTTGTGGCCACGGAAGTTCAAATGCGGTGACTCCGGATCATTTGCAAAGCAGGTGGTTGCCTTGAAACTAGTCGGTTCGCATAGCGGGTTGGATATTCAGGTTAATAAAAAAAAATCTCAAGTAAAATACGTTATAAATAAGCTTATGAAATGGTCGTTAACCAAATATCACAACAAAACATTTTAAACTCATAAAATCTGAAATAAAATTTTGGATTTGTAGAGAAATTAATTTATTATTGTACATAAAATATGAAAACAGTATTATATATATATATATATATATAATTTATTGTAATTAATTACTCCATTTTTCACAAGAAAATATTTATTTGATTTTCAAATTATAAGGAATTAGATGGTAATTGTGGAATTTGTATTTTTTTTTATATTTTCCCATTAAACTTTTCTTATTTATTATAAAACAATTATTATTTGTACTATACTATAAAATATTTAATTTTTTCTTAGAAACTTTTAAATTTTTAGGGACACTATTTACAATATCAAGTATAAATATATTAATTTTAAAAATATTTTTATTTGGTTCTTTCATAAACATTAAAACACACAGTTCTACTAAAATTTTCAAATAACCCTAGAATAAAATCGGGTTCATAGGACACACAAATTAATGTTTAAATGTTTTAATAGATTATGTCTTATAAAACTTAAATTTATAACACACAAACAATAAAACATCTTATCTAAAAGTATTATAATAGGTTTATAGAATAATTTTGGATGTCTTATTGTCTTAACAAGTTTTTTATGACACTTTTTCGAATTTAGTATCCTATAAAATAGTTAATACGTAACTACAAGGGTGGTGCTTGATTGATTTGAGCTTGACTCCAAAGGTCAAAAGTACTAGGAGGTCGGTTCAAATGCGATGACTCCGGACTATCTGCAAAACAGATGGTCGTTTTGGGATTAATCGGCTCACATAGCAGGTTGGATATGCAGGTTAAAAGATATAGTTGGAGTTCTTGAAATTATATGAGTATAATTAAAGAAAACATATTAATTAAAGTTGCTTCAATTTGAAGTGTTTTAATTAAGTAGTGGATGAGATTAGAAGCTTGCATCTTGAAAATACACACACATGAATCCAAGTTGATTTGAAAATTGAAACCGATGGCCATATCATACATATACATTACCAACATTTGATTTCATAATATCCCATTAATTCAGATGAAAAAGAAAGATGGATAGATACATAGAATGTATGTATAGATGACCAACAAAAGAACCCAAAATTTTTCAAACTTTGCTTTTAAAGACTACTACTTGCCAGCTACCACTGCCCACATTCATTGCATGCTTTCAACAGCAATAAACCACGGCGTCCGGTGGTAGTTTCGACGGTGCGAAGGCCAAGAGAAGTAGTACCGACATGATCAACACCGGCACGAAGAGGAGCAACGGTGGAGGTGGCGGCAGTGGTGGCAGTACCAGCGGGAGAACCACCAGAAACAGCGTGAACAACACCATCACTGCTAATGCTTTCAAACCGAAACTCCACCCTAAAACCGTCGTCAAAGTTGTCTTCGTCGTCGAGGTGTTTCTGGTGGTTGATGATGATGCAAGCCTCTCTTCTGTTGCTGCCTCAAAATGTCGTCGTTGATCGAATGATGCCTTCAACACCATCATCTTCTTTTTTCAGGGTTTCAACTGATGGATCTGTATGAGCATGTGATGTAATATATATATATATATATATATATATATATATATATGGGTGGATGGATCGCTGAGTATTAATCGATTTGTACATATAAAGAAAGCATCAACAGAGAATATGTATCTATTGTGGGTGTTCGTCAATTTTTATGCTTTATAAAGACACACACACACATATATATATATATATGTATATACATACATATATATATATATATACAGAGAGAGAGAGAGAGAGAGAGAGAGAGAGAGTGTTAAGAGGGTTATTTATGATCATTAGTTTCTTGATCGTATAAATTGACCAAGAAAGGTCAAAAAATATCCACTATTAATTTTTCTAATTAAGGATATGTAACATTTCAATAAGCTTACTGAAAAACTAATTCGTCTTTATTAAAAAAATAATTATATTTAATAGAAACTAATTGATAACTTAACTAAAGTTAGTGGCTATTTGACAATTACTGAATGGTTTGGTACAAAACGATTAAGTGATCAAAATGTTTAAGAGACTCTTATGATATAATACAAAATGAAATATAATATTTGGTAATTGTTTACAATGAAATTAGGGCGTTTAATTGTTAAGGAAGCCTCATGATACAACCTCATGATACAAAATCATTCAGAGGGTTTTAGAACCATTAAGAAACATATTTTTTTTATCAAACAAGATTCACCTCTTAACAATTCAGATACTATCTCTTAATGAAATTATTAAGAGGTATACAAACAACCCTTAGTTTGAAAATATAAACAAACTCGTGAGTTATAACATACTTAAACTAATAATATAATTATATATTACGTTAATAAATAGATGGATTTATATATTTTATTAAAATTATTTACCGTATTTTAATATAATTTTAACTTTTATATTATTTATAAAAACTTTTTTAGAATCCTTATTTTTGATACTAGAAGGGTACTCGTACAATATATCGAGACACATTTTTATTTCAATGTTTTTTTTATTTGTTATATCCATGTCGATATAATACGATTTTATGTGGTTTTGAAAAAACGATAATGTTTCCATTTTTGAATAAAATATAAATTTGAAATATCATATAAAATTTGTAAAAAATATATATCAATATTAGTATCAAATTAACTATTTAAAAGTTCTTGTTTGTGTATTTTTTTTTATTCAAAATTTTTATAATAATTTAATTTAACGTAACAAAGTAACTTAATTTAGGGGGTGTTTGGGATTGCTTATTTTATCTGCTTATTGACTAATTTCAGTCTGACACCGGTGATAAGCTAATACCTGGCATTTGGATAAGAAAAAAGAAAACTGCTTATACCGGTGCCAAACCGGTAATAAGCAGTTTTTGATAAGTTAATCCGTCATGACTTATGAAAAACTGCTTATTACCAGTTTACCATTTTAACCCTATTACCCTTTATACCTATCTCTTTTCCTCCAGATAACATCGATCTCAATCTTCTCCCTTCTCCGGATAAAAATATCAATCTTCTCTCTGTCATTTTTGGTCATTTTACAGATATAAGCAAAATTTGCCAAACACTAAAAAACAACTTATCAGCTTATTGCGGTTTGGTACCGTTATAAGCTAGGGGTGAGCATAGGCGGGTACCCGCCCTTTTTGATAGGAACCGGAACTGGCGGTTCTTAAGATATTGGAACCGGAACCGGAACCGGTTAGAGCGGTTCTTGAATTTTTGGAAC